CCTAGGCCCACTGCCCCAACTCCACTTAAGGTTTGGTCTGAGGTTCCCATGATTGAATTGTCTTATTTTCCATTTTATTTGTGGGGTCTTTCACACATCTACTCACCAAAGCCACACCTTCTTTAATCAATCTGATTATTCAATGTCCTGAGCACACATATTACTCCGTTGATGTTTCCATCTGAGAAACCCAACTCCAGAGCCCTCCTTCCTGCTGGCCTCTGCATGCTGTCCCTTTCAGCATGAAGCACAGCACTTTGCAGACACGGTGGCTTCTGTTTGCCACTGAGGGACTCTGGGTTTTCATAAGTCACTCAGTACTCGTCCTCCCCCCTCCCTTGAACTAATGCAGACTTGGCCAAGTGCATTTTGGTAATGGGTTTAGAAAGAGTTCCTGGTGCCTCCCAGCCTTGTAATCTAACAGACATCACCCTCTGGGTTGTCTGGCCTGCATACAGAACTCTGAATCTCTGCAGTGTCATCTGGTGGGCAGAATAACAAGCAGGACCCACACACAAACTTGAGCCACAACCCTGGAGCTCGCAGCGTCATGAGCCACTCCCCTGCCCCATCCACCTCCCTTTCTCTCTCTCTCTCTCTCTCTCTCTCTCTCTCTCTCTCTCTCTCTCTCTCTCTCTCTCTCAGGTTATATGTACCATGGCTTCCTGCTAGGAGCTTGCAAGAACCTAGACTTTTTCTACAGGCCATTCCCCTCAGAGATCTATTCTCTAAATGACAGGCACTCCCAACCTAGCCTCAGCCCAGAGGTGCCGCCACACTCCCCAGGCTGCCTGTGGGTTCCAAGTGTTCCAAAAACTGTCCCCAGAAGACAGGTTTTTTCATTATCTTACAGTAGATGTGGGGGCTACCTGAAGACAGGCAATCAGGTGACCCATGAGATGGGGGTGCTATTTTCAAGAGCTCCACCAGATTGAGCGGAAATGTCCCCCATAGAGGCACCTTCAAGGCCTCTGGGTGGCAAAAGAGAGGAGAGGGAAGGAGCCCTGGGCCGTGGCTTTGGCTGAGTGCTGTATAGCTGTGGATCCCTCTGGTCACACAGAGAAATGAAGACTAACTCAGAGATAATCACAGCAGTCCAGACAGGTAGGGATGAGGATAGGCCTTCCACACGCCAGAGAGCAAGATTTCTACTGAGGGCAGGAAGCCACTGAGAAGAGGAAGGGGTGGGAAGAGAGGACTCCTGTGCTTGCCATGTTTTATTGAAAGAGGAAGAGGAGAAAAAGGGAAAGGAAGCAGGGTGTGAAGGCAGAGAGGAGCTTAAACAGGTAAACAAATGGTCTTCCTCCAAGTTGAAGCCTGGGCATTAGAGCAATAGTGGTGTTGTCTGTCTCCTGCCTTGGAGACAAATACTCCAAGCTGAGTGCTTCCCAGTACAATGTGGGAGAAGCTACACCACTAGAAGCCAAAGATCTTCACTCTAGCCGGTAGAGGATATGGGATATGGCCTCAGTACCTCACAGGTTAAGTGATTGTTCCTCCTGCCAGGCTCCAGCAGAAGAAACACTCCATCTCCCCCACCAGGAGGAGACGGGAGGAAGCCCATTCGGATCCCTGGACGTGGCTGCCTTCCGGCTCCCAGCCAGCTCTTGAGCAGCTGCTGAGGCGAAGCTTTGGTCTGCTGATGACAGATGACAAGTGGATATACGCGAATAATTTCACACACAAAACAACAAACCGGCAACCCGCTGTTTGTCCCATTTCCAAACTTGAAATTCACAACAGAGGCTGTTTAGGGTTTTAAGTGGCTTCCTTTGAAGCGGTGTAGCTCATCTGGGGACAAAGAAAGATTAGCCCACAATCTGGGAGACTGTAAATGACGCTTCCTCGGAGGTGTGGAAGGGTTGTCCTCAGTCAGCCTGAAGCCATCCTTGCCATGGAGCAGGACCATGTGAGGATGTGACCAGTGGCCTCCCTGACCCACTATGTTTGATCAGGCTTGTGACCCAGAAAGGCTACAAGCAGTGACAGGGTAGGCAGTTCTAACATTTCCATCAGAGTGGGGAGCCCAAGACAGGTTGGAGCAGGCTCGGGAAAAAGCTACAAGTGCCAGGTTTGGCAGGCACTGGGATGTCCCTTAGCCTCCAGCAGCCTCCCCCAAAACCCATAAAGCCATGCCTGCCCCACCCATCAAGTCAGCCCTACCCTTCCTGCTGACCTGGGCTCCTGGTCAGTGTGGTAGTGCTAGCTAGCCTCCCAAGGCATTTCCTGGGGATAAAGTGGAACCCCTGGCTATGTGGGAGCACAGGATCATTAGGGCAGCTGAAACCTGTCACACCCCATTATTCAGCTATTCAGCGAGTTCATGCCTCAAACTCAGCCTGCTTCCACAGCCCTTTGAAATGCTAATTTTCTAATTAATTACACTCCTCACTTCTCCAGTGGGTTTTCCCCCTTTCAAACTTCAAGAGGCATCTATCTGCTCCTGTATAAGGTCAGCAGTAGTCTGTCCCACATCCTTTGTAAAACCACCTTATTATTGATCCATCCAAGCACCATCAGGCACATTCCCATCCCAAAGAAAGGCAATTCTCCTAGGAGAGAATGAGCTGAGGCCCAGAAGGGTTTACTGGCCTGCTGTGGGCCTGAAAGGTCTATTATGAGCCTGGCCCAGGAACCTTCCCTGGACAATACGTGGGGAACACCTGTTAAAAGTGGGTCAGAATGCTCATGTTCATAAGTGCTGACTCAAGCTTGGTTTGACTTTTAAGTTGATATCCAGTAAAACTATGCTCCAGCATGCATGGCAGGCACACTCTTTGGCACCTCCAATCACACCATTAATGGCACGCGTAGGGGTAAGGCAGGACATCCCCTCACTGTGGTCAACCTACCCATAAAAGGAGACATTTACCCAGTGTGGGCACTGAGCTCCCAGGGAACCGCCCAGGCCTCACAGGTGGGTTACATGATGAGAATCAGCAGTTTGCAGGGAAAGTGAGGACAGTACCAGGCGGAGTTGTGTAATTGCTGTTTTCTGCTTTGTCCAATGTAAAATGTTGCAGTGTAGACCTTAGAACTGGCTGGCTCATCTGCTAATCATCTCCCCACTTTGCTGATACTCTCTGGGCTCCCTACAGATTCTCTGAGGCTCAGAAAGCAGACCTGAGTCTAATGTGGTGGTAAGTCTGTAATTCCAGCACTCAGAGACTAAAGCAGGAGGATGTCAAGCTTGAGGCCATTCCATACAACATAGCAAGACTCTGTCTCGAGAAACAAAACGCCAAATAGGATAAGATAAATAAGTAAAAGTAACTCTGGAAAAACAGCTCTGGGGACACAGCCTCCTGCTGAGCAAGACCCCTGAGGGCTTCAGCTCCTTCTCCCCTCCCTGAGCACCTACTCCAGCCCTGGGGACGCAGATGCAGCTTCTGATTTGCACCCTAAATCATAACTGTAATCGTCCTGCTTTGCTAATGAATGCAAATTGCAAGCACTCCTATTGGAGATCAGAGCATTCCGGCTTTTTTAAAGCAGTCATCCATCTTCCCTGCTTGCCTATTGGACATCCGGCTTCCTCACACAATCCCCAAGAGTGACAGCCAGCAGTCCATTCACCTTCCCCCTGACCAGCAAGGTCACTAATACTGCCCGGTCAGGAGAAACATCAGTGAGTTTGCAAAAGGCAAACATGGATGACAAGGGAACCGGGAATGTATTTCGAAGGGTCTCAGCGTTTGTTCTGTGATTGCAATGTAAATGGTCACACCAGGTTGACCAGGCTGCAGTCTAGCATGTGTGCACCTCCATGATACTGTAAGGGATTGATCAAGCCAACAGCCCTCAACATCCAACCACACTGGAGGGAGGGATGACACTGAATCCTGGCTCTGCCCTTTCAGGCTTACGGTAAGACCGCATCTGGAAAGCTCTGGTCTCTGGCTGTAGCCACCTGACAGATAGCAGGAGTTTCCCTAGCCTGGCCCATGGCACAACTCAACATGTCAGTGGGATTTCTGGGCTCTGAGATGTCCATAAGGCAGATGCACCGTCCCCATCCTTAAGAGGTTCTAGGGGACATGCTTGATTCTATCACAGTTTCAGTTGGGACAACTGAGAGGATACAGGAGACAAGCAACAAAAAAGGGACCCCTACTATCTGGCATCAAGACCCAGTGCCCTTTAGGCCCAAGGAAGCATGGACCAACGTCAAAAACCTCTTACCCTAGCTTTCCCCCACAGTCTTCAAAACCAAGGCCGATGTTGGTTTTCAGAGTGGATGAACTAGGCAGAGCAACAGGGCAGCCTCGGGGGAAGTGAGAGCTTAACAAACATTCCTACCTACCTGTTCACCACTGTAGCTCTACCCCCTGGTTGAAATTAGCTTATACTCGTGCTTATAGCCCATATTCTTAATGTCCCATCCCATTCTTCTCACATCCACCTATCTGGAGACAGTCCAGAACCCAACCAGCACAGCAAGCAAGGAGGAAAAATGGGCCCAAGGATCAGAGAACCTACTAGAATAAAGCAAAGGTATCACTGTGCCATAGCTGTCTGGGGTTTCAATAGACATCCCATGGGGACGATGGAAGATTCTGGGATGCCCTGGGCATGTTTGGCTCTGATTGTGCTTCATTAGCAATCACCTGCCCGAGGGTTGGGACTGAAGAAGGATTGAAGCAAGGATCCCATGAGCTGCAGGGTGGTGGTCAGGACAATGTCATCAAAGGCCTCTATAGGTCATAGTTTATTTACTTCGGCAACTATATTTTTATTTACAGGATCTCTAATTGACTTTTGGGAGTAGGGAAGATTGGTTGCTGTTTCATGGATGGGGTACACTTTTCTAAACTCTGCAGAGATGACTGTTAAAACCTTCTCAACTCTTGCTACACTCTATAGCTTACAGCCCAGGGCCTTCAACTTAAATATTAGGAAACAGGAGAGGGAAATTAGTTCCCAGAGTGAGGACCTGCCTTTTCAGGCAATCAGTCACAGCTACGCTAAATTTCCCACCCTGGGGACCCATGCTGGTATACCTCTCCAGGAACTGCTGGCATCATCAGCCTCCTCATCTCAGCCTCTTGATCCAAGGCTTCCACCAGAGATGGTCCATATCCCAATGACAAAGACATTCAGGGTTAGCCTGACAGTGTCCTAAGCCTCTTGATCCAAGGCTTCCACCAGAGATGGTCCATATCCCAATGGCAAAGGCATTCAGGGTTAACCTGACAGTGTCCTATCTCTGTGTCCATTGTGACATCAGGACACAAGCCTTTGCTCTCTTCTAGTCCAGGGTTCCAAGACTCACTGGGTACCACCAGCCTCTACAGAAGGACCCCAGGGTCTACGTTCTTTGTCTGATTCTCCTGGGCAAATTTTCCTTACAGAATTATCCCCCAAAGTCCCCAGTCCCCCCAAGACCCTGCTTCTTGTCCACAAGTCTGTGGTCCATCCACACATGGGCTCAATGGTCAGTCCATTGCAAGTGTGTTCACAAGGAGAAACTGTAGCTTTCCAACCTTGGGACACATGAGAACATTTCTGATGGGCAGTTTTTAAACAGGACAGGAACCAGGGCGTCCACATGCGTACCTCTTCTGGGCAAGAGTTTAACCAAGGAAATCACAGACTACCAAGATAGGGGTCCATGTATCAGAAGTTCGTCGTGGTTCTCACAGCAACAGCTGTGGCCCAGGCCCCCTGAGCATCAAGACTCCTCATTGATGGACTTGCTCTGGGAAAATTCATCCACCTCTCTGGTTCTTCTTCTCTTTGATCTACCACATCTTCCCAGTGGTGATATGAGTGAGATTGTCCCCCACACCTCATAAGCTCAAGCATTTGGACATTTAGTGCTCAGATGGTGGTGCAGTTCAGGAAGGTTTAGGAGGTGAGATCTTGCTGAAGGAAGTATGTCACTGAGGGTGGGTTTTTGGAGTATACAGCAACTTGCTGCACTTAAGCTCACTCTCTGTTTCCTGCTTGTGGTTGAAAATGTGAGCTCTCAGTTTCCCGCTCCCAGGTGCCTGCCATAGCTACTGATTATTGCCAGACCTCCCACCATGATGGACTCTTTTGAGGGGGGGTCTGGTTTTTTATTTAAATGAGAAACAAGCTTCCTTCACATGTCAATACCAGCTCCCTCTCCCTCCCCTCCTCCTCCCCCAGACTCCCTAGACCCCCCCTGCCAATCCCCTCTCCTCTCCAGGGAGGGTAAGGCCCTCCATGGAGGATCTCCAGAGTCTGTCATTTCATCCAGGGCAGGGCCTAGGCCCTCCCTCAAGAGTCCAGGCTGAGAGAGCATCCCTCATTGTCGGATGGGCACCCAAAGTCCATTTATGTGCCAGGGATAAATACTGATCTACTACCCAAGGCTCCATAGATTGCCTAGGCCTCCTCACTGACACCCACATTCAGGGGCCCCATGCTGGCCTCCCAGCCATCAGTCTGGGATCCAAGAGCTCCTCCTTGTTCACGTCAGCTGTTTCTGTGGGTTAAACCAGCCCAATCTTAACTCCTTTGGTCTCTGTCACTGAATTCCAAGAGTTTAGTTCAGTGTTTAGCTGTAGATGTCTGCCTTTGCTTCCATCAGTCACTGGATGAAGGTTCTGTTCCCCATGCTCTCTGGCAGTGGAATTGTAGGCTGGCACTCCCCTGATCTATGTCTAAAATCCATGTAGGAGTGAGTACATACCATGTTTCTCTTTTTGTGAGTGGGTTACCTCACTCAGGATGGTTTCTTCTAGTGCCATCCATTTGCCTGCAAATTTCAAGATTCCATTGTTTATTTCCTGTTGAATAGTACTCCATTGTGTAAATGTACCACATTTTCTCTATCCACTCTTCAGTTGAGGGACATCTAGGTTTCTTTCAAGTTCTGGCTATTACAAATAATGCTGCTATGAATATAGTGGAACAGATGTTCTTGTTGTATGAATGTGCATCTTTTGGGTATATGCCTAAGAATGGGATTGCTGGGTCTTGTGATAGACTGATTCCCATTTTCCTGAGGAATCTCCACACTGATTTCCAAAGTGGCTGTAAGAGTTGGCACTCCCACCAGCAGTGGAGGAGTGTTCCCTTTCTCCACATCCTTTCCAGCAAAAACTGTCATTGGTGTTTTTGATTTTAGCCATTCTGACAGGAGTAAGATGGGATCTCAGAGTTGTTCTGATTTGCATTTCCTGAATGGCTAGAGATGTTGAGCACTTTCTCAAGTGCCTCTCAGCCATTTTAGAATTCTCTATTTAGTTTTGTACTCCACTTTTTAATTGGATCCTTTGGTGTTTTGGAGACTTGCTTCTTGAGTTCTTTGTAAATTTTGGAGATCAACCCTCTGTCAGATGTGGGGTGAATATCTTCCCATTCTATGGGCTGCCTTTTTGTCTTATTGACTATGTCCTTTGCCTAACAGAAGCTTCTCAGTTTCAGGAGGTCCCATTTATTAATTGTCAACCTCAGTGTCTGTGCTACTGGAGTTATGTTCAGGAAATAGTCTCCTGTACCAATTCATTCAAGGGTACCTCCAACTTTTTCTTCTAAGAGGTTCAGTGTGGCTGGACTTATGCTGAGGTATTTGATCCATTTGGGCTTAAGTTTCGTGTATGGCAATAGACATGGATCTATCTGCAGTCTTCTACATGTCAGCCTCCAGTTATGCCAGCACCATTTGTTGAAGATGGTTTTTGTTCCATTGTATAATTTTAGCTTCTTTATCAAAGATCAGGTGTTCATACATATATGGGTTAATATCAGGTTGTTCAATTCGATTCCATTGGTCTACCTACATATTTTTGTGCCAATACCAAGCTGTTTTCAGGACTATATCTTTGTAATAGAGCTTGAAGTCAGGGATGGTGATGCCTCTGGATGTTGCTTTGTTGAACAGGGTTGTTTTGGCTATCCTGGGTCTTTTGTTTTTCCATATAAAATTGGGAATTGTTCTTTCAAGGTCTGTGAAGAATTGTACTGGGATTTTAATGGGGATCGCATTGACATGATGGACTCTTATTCCTCTAGAACCATAAACCCAAATAAACTCTCCATTCTATAAGCTACTTTTTTCATAGTGTTTTATCATAGAAAAAAATCTGACATACTCACTGAAACTTGAAATTGATCACTGATGCTTGAGGGAGTCCAAAGCATGGCTCTCACTTGTAAACCTGAGTTATCACCTGCAAAATTCTATTGTATTAAAGCCTGTGTTTATGTGGAGCTGTCCCTTTCCTAGGGACAATAGATGAGTGTCAAGGAGCATTGAGGAATTTGCATCTTACTCCAGAGCTTCTCACTCTCCACTTTATTTTTTTGAGGCAGGTTCTCTCGGTGAACTTGGAGCTTACCAATTCAGCTAGACTAACTGGCCACCAAGCCCTGGGATTCTGCCTGTCTCATCCTTTACCTACTCAGCCATTGCCCCAACCCCTCAATGCCTCTTCATTTCATAAAACATGAGACCCATTGTAAAACACACAAAGCAACAAGCCAATCACATCATCAACAGCACAGCCTGAGGATGAAAACCAATGTGGACTCACTTTGTGGCAACACTGGTCCAGATGGAGCCACTGAATGTACCACAACTGACCCCCAGTTGTCTGCTGAGTCCCTTGGGCCCTGGCAGGTGAACTAGCCTATCACACACTGTGTATGGAAGATACTTCTCCCCACATGCCTTCTTAGAGTCCAGTTGTGTTTCTTCTGCTCTCAACATTCCTACCCAGCTGTCACCAGGGCCTGAATGGTTTCTGTGTCCATCACACGGAGCTATTTTCTTGTCTCAAGACCTCTTACAAAAACATCATCAGGGGACAGGGTCGTGTGTCCCAGTTGCTCATGTGATTCTCAAGCAGAGAATCTCCCTGACGCTGAGTTTCTTCATCTACAAAGCAAAACCATGAGCACACATAGACTCTAAAACCATAAATGCAAATAACAGAAAAGTGATGACTGCATCTACAGAGTACCAGTGATGACTGGGTCTACAGAGTTCCAATTATGGCTGGGTTAATAAAGTGCCAGTGTTTGTTGTTCTTGCCAACTGGACAAAAACTAGAGTCACCTTGGAAGAAAGAACTTCAACTGAAGATTGCCTCCAACAGACTGACCCTTTGGGCATTTCCTTGATTGCTAATTGATGTGGGTGGAAGGGCCAACTCTCTGTGGGAAGCACCACACCTGGGAAGGTGGTCCTGAGTTGTGTAAGGAAGCAAGCAGAGTAAGCCAGAGGAGCAAGCCTGTAAGCCATGTCCCTGAATTGGTTTCTGCTCTAAGCAGAAAGGTTGACCTTGGACCACTACTTGCATGTAAACACACACACACACACACACACACACACATAGAAAGACTTTATAGGAAAATGAAGAGATCGCTCTGGAGACACCAGAGGGTCCCTCTCTGTGACCCCAGCCTCCTTTCCTCCCCAGGGTCACAGGAAATGTTGTCCCCTGTGGAGTCAAGAACTAGTACCACTTTGACCTCACCCATGCACCTGCTGCCCTCTGTGAGAGACGAATTCAGTGGCCCTGCTGAGAGTTAGGCCCCAAGATTTACTATTCTGCACTAGAAAAAAAATCTGCTTTTACAAGCACAATAAAAATGCAAATTCAATTATAAACGAATCAAAAGAAGATGCCCATCTTTCCGAAGTACAACCCCAGTTACATTCATTGTGAATGCCTCCAAAGACCGCCTCTAAAAATGTTATTAGACCCATGAATGTCCTAGACAATTAATGGGTTTTCTGTCTACATTAAGCTAAATAACAGCATCTTACCGGTCAAGAAAAAGACGTTTGTGCCTTTTGGCTACAATTAAGTCCAAGGCTGGGTTTGCACTTCACTTTAATTACTAATAGATTAATCCAAGCCGAAACGACGATCTGTAATTAGCATTTTGTTGATTGATTTGTTGCAAAGAAATGACCCCGATTCTGTTTTAGTAATCAGTTTATAGCTAATTGGCTTTCTTTCATTAAAATATAAAGAGCCATCCATTCCGAGTGGTCAAGGTGTGTTGACCATAAACACTAGAGACCTGTCACTTGTCAGAAGTGGCCTTCTTTGATTTTTATGGAAATCTAATTATTGAGTAAATTAAGGGATTTGACCTCTGAGAAAAAGCTGTCTAGTAACTTCCAGACATTGGTGACCCACGAGGAAGGCCAAGGACGAACAACACTCTGTTGTGATGAT